CGCGGTAACGTTACCGCGTCCAGTGGGCAAGAGCCATTACCGATAAGCCGAGGGGGAATTTTTTTACACATAAAATTATAACAAGACGCTACAAAATGCTGCGTTGAGCCATATACATATATATGACGTTTGTAACGTCTTGTGAACTCAGAAAACCCGATTAACGTTGTATGTACGGGCCGTAAAAAATATTTTTACTGTATAATTGCAAGTTAATGTTTTTGTAATACAGTTGCAACATTATAAAAGTGATATTGCACAATATTGTATTTGCAATGTAACTGCAATATTGCAGATGTAATATTACGCAATATTGTGTTTCAAATATTGTTGCACCATTGCATTTGCATATGCAATCTTGCAGCGTTGCAGCAATGCTGTTGCAGCTTTTGTGCTGTATGGGTCCTGCCGAATCGATCTCTCGAACTTTCCAGCCAATCTCCTTTCTCTCTCCACAGTCGATCTCTCGCGTCCGCTCTCGATCTCTCACTTCTCTCCACCAATCCTCTTCTTTCTCCCTGCTGCTATCTCTCTCCTACCCCCCTCTCTTCCTCCTTCTTCCTTAGTCCGGAATCGCCGACTCATTGCCGCTTCCCTTTTCCGCTTCGTTTTCTCCTCCGCCTTCCGCCTATTCTTCTCGCCTCCATGTCCTCTGGTTCCTCTCTCGTTCCTCTCACTCTCACTTCCTCCTCCTTCCTCATACTCCACCTTTACACCTCACTTCCGACACTTCTCTCACCACCTTCCTTCGTCAACCTCTTTTCACCTCGCCATCTTTACCCCCTCTCCACGTTATATGTATATTAACCTATATAAATTTTGTATGGAAAGTTTTTATGTAATTCCTTTTGATTATTTATTGCAATAAATTAATATTAATAAATTATACTTTTCATGTTTTTTTTATTTTATGTAACTCACTTGTATAAATAAATATATATACACATATATATAATTATTATATGTTATTTTTAAAAAATATTCTATTCTATACTGCATATGAAATTAATTTTTAAATATTTGTATATTTGAAATGCTTGGTAATAACAATTTCTGTAATTAAAGAAACTTTTATAATTAAAATACAATTGAAGTTTATTATGTTGCGTAATACTCACTTCAGATTCAATGAGTAGTAGTAGTATGAATTTATTTCCCTTGCGGGGTACATGCGGACCTCCGCTCCGCTTACAAAATCTTTCTTTCGCTTCGCTCGCTTTTTTTTCGCACGCTCGCGAGAGAGAGAGAGACTCCTCACTCCTCCTCATTCACTCTTCCATTCATCCCTCTTGGACCTCCGTTTCCGCCGCATTCTCCATTCTCGTCTCTTCTCACACTCTCTTCCTCGTCTATCCTCATCCCCTCCCCCTCCATTCCTCTATTCTCTTCATCCATTCTTCTCCCCCTCCTTCTCCCTCTAATATTTCCTCTACTATTTCCCTTCAATTTCTCTCCCTCCCCCAATCTGTGCATTCCTCCAGAATATGTTTCCACGTCTTCTCACTCCGCCCACATACCCTACATAACCTTCTTTCCTCATTCTCCCAATACCTATTTCCCTTCATTTCTTCTCCTAATCTAAATCCTCCTAATCTTGCCATCCTCTGCCATCTTTCTTCTCTTCATCCCTTTTTTAAGTATCCTGGTAACCCCTTTCCTTTTATCCATTTGTACCATATGTTTCCCTTCGTCTCCCTTATCCTCCTCCATCTTTCTTCCTCCTGCTCTCTCTTCTCCCTCCTCACTATTTCCTTGCCCCTCATCTCCCCCTCTTCCCTTAACCTTTCTATCTCCTTTATTTCCCATCCCTTTTCTACATAAAACTCCTCTCTTTCTTTTTCCCACTCCCCTATCACCTTACCCTTCTTCGCTCTCTCTCTCACTTCTTCCCAGCACCACCTTGCTATCTCCCCTCCTCGTCCTTCCCCTATCCTCCTTTCATAACCCCATGCTCTCATTCCGCCCTTCCTCTCATTTTTTCTCTCATTAACTCTTCTCTTGTCATATATCCTGGTGTATTCCATCCTACCCCCATTATCCATCTTAAATATCTTTCATGCATCCTCTCTATCTCTTCCCTTTCCCTCCACCCCCAAATTTCCACCCCGTAGCTCATCACCGTCCATACTAATCTGTCAAAAAGCCATAATCTTCTCGCCCAATCCCCTCCATATCTCCTTTTCCCTATTCCCCATACTTCTCTCATTACTACCGCCCCTTTTCTTACCTTCTCTCTTATGTGTTCTTTACTCTTTCCATTAGCCATCACTACATATCCTAAATACGTGAACTTTCTCACTTCTTCTATCTCATTTCCCTTCCACCTCTATTTAACCTTTTTCCACCTCCCTCCTCCTTTCCTGCATCTCATCACCTTCGTTTTCCCAATGTTAACCTCCAGTCCTTTTTCCTCCATATACTTCTCTAACCCCTTTATCATTCCTTTCATCCCTTCTTCATTTTCCGCTATCACCGCTATATCATCCGCATATGCCATCGACCATATCTTTCTTCCTCCTACTTTAATCCCTCCCCACCCCTCCCTTTCCAATTCCTCATCCAAGTCCGCCAACAACATTGTGAATAGGCATGGGCTCAATGGACACCCCTGCCTTACACCTCTCCCTGTCCAAAATATTTTCCCCTCTTTGTCCTCCACCTTTACCCTACACCTTGTTTCCCTTAATATCTCTTCACATCTCTCTACCAGTCCTTCCCTTACTCCTCTTTTCCTTAAGCATTCTCTCAATTTCCCTTTATCTACCGAGTCAAAAGCCGCCTTTAAATCTAAGAATAGTACCACCATCTTCCCATTTTTTTCCGCTATCTTTTTATTTATTATGTAGTTCAACCCATATATCTGATCTACTGTGCCTCTTCCCTCTCTAAAACCTGCCTGACTCGGAGGTAGCGTCCCTTTCTCCTCCACCTCCTTCCTCATTCCCTTTGTTAGCACCGTTGCGTATATTTTGTACGCCGTCTGTGTTAATGTTATCCCTCTATATTCCTCTACTTTTTTCCCTTTTCCTTTCTTCTATACTGGAACTACTACCCCCTCACTCCATTCTTCCGGCCATCCCACTCCCCTCCACACCTTATTACATATTTCCCATAACCAACTCTTCACCTCCTGTCCCCCATACTTCCATACTTCATTTGCGATTCCGTCCCCTCCTGCCGCCTTCCCATCTTTCAGACCTCTTATCACCTCTTCTATCTCCTCTCTACTTATTTCTTCTTCTTCCCCTATTCCTCCATTGTTTCTTTCTCCCTCCTCTCTCACCTTCCATTCCACTCCCCTTAGCATTTCCTTAAAGTATCCTTCCCACTCCTCTATTCTTATCCCCTGCTCTACTCCTTTTCTCCCCCCCCCCTTTCTCTTCTTACCACCTTCCATACCTGCCTTTCCGTTCTTACACCTTCTATTTCCCTTTCCCATTCCTCCCTTTCCTTCCTTTTCTTTTCTTCACATAATGTCTTATATTCTTTCTTTCTTAACTTATATTCTTCCCCCTCTCCCCCCTTCCTTTTCCATTTTCTAAACTCCTCCTTCACTTTTTCTTTTAATTCTTTACACTCCTCATCCCCCACCATCCTTTCTTTCTTACTCCGCCCATTTCCCTTTCCACCTTCTCTATCGCCTCCTTCACCCTTCCTTTCAGCCTCTCCCACTCCTCTCCCACCATCCCTCCCTCGCCTTCTCTCCTTCCACAATAAGAAATAAATTTCCTCCCTTCCTCTGTCCATATCCCTCTCCCCCTCCTTTTCTTCTTCCATCCTTTTCTCCCCCTCTCCCTCCTCTCTCCCTCCACCCATACCGTCAAAGGTTGGTGATCCGACTCTGTGTTCTCCTCTACCACCAACCTTTTCACGCTTCTTCTTGTTTCTCTATCCCCCACCACGTAATCTATTACCGTTCCGCCTCTTCCACCTGTATATGTCCACTCTCCCTCCTCATCCCCCTCTGTATTTCCATTCATTATTGACCATCCCATTTCTTCTAAAAATCTACATAACCTCCTTCCCTCCCCATTACTCTTCTCATCTCTCGATTTTCTTCGTCTCTCCCTTTCCTCATCCCCTTCCTCTCCTCCTCCTCCAGTCCCCGTCCTTCCCTGTTCTCCATCCATTTTCTTAACTTCTCTATTTTCCTATCTAAGTCCTTATTCACATACACTCCTATTATCCTCCACCACTCTTTTCCTATTTTTACCTTCATGCTCATCATTCCTTCTTCCTCATCCTCCTCTACTTCCCCTTCTATCTCTATTTCCTCCCTTCTTCCCATTACTATCCCTCCTATCGCTCTTCCTTTTTTATTCTTTTTCCCTGCCTCTTGTATCTCCCATCTATATCCTTTTGGTAACCACCTTTTCACCTTCTCCCACCCTTTCTTCTGCACCCATGTCTCACTCATGTAAATTATATCCCATTTTCTTATTCCCTCCCAGAAGTCCTTATCTTTATTCATTAATCCTGCTACGTTCCAGAAGCCTATCTTGTATTCCTCTTTTCTCTTTATTTCTCCTTTCTTTTTCTTTTTTTTTCTCCTAACACTTCTCTGCTCCTCTTCTTTTCCTTCCCCTTCTTCTCCCCCTCTCCTGCTCCTTTCTAGAAAAACTCTTTCTCCTCTCTTTCTTTTCTATTTCCTATCTCCTGTCCCTTTATCAACTCGTCCTTTTCCTCGTCCCACCTCCATAGTTTCCCCTCTACCCACATTTTCATATATCCCACCCTTACCCTTAGTCCCTCCCTTCTTTTCCCTTCCGCTTCTCTCCTAATGTTCCACTCCACTCTCCTTTCCTTTTCCGTCAAATCGTCTCTTATCCATTCGTTTCTTTCTCTTAAATTCTTCTTTCCTTTCATCACCTCAATTTTCTCTCCTACGCTTGCGAACCTGACCATTACAATTTCTTTACCTTCTTCATTTCTCCTCCCTACTCTCTTTACTTCTTCTATTCTTACTTTCGCTCCTGTTTCCTTCACTATCTCTTCTACCTCCTCCCTTAATCCTTCCCACCCTTCTTTCTTCGCCTTTATCCCTTTTATTATAACGTTTCTTTTTCTTTCTTCTCTTTCCTTTTTCTCTCCATCTATTTCCATCTTCTTCACCCTTTTTCCTATCTCTTCCCATCTCCTATCTTTCTTTTCCCCTCCTACTTCCTCTCTCTTCTCTCCCTTCCCTTTATCCTCCTTTATCTCCTCTTTCTCCTTCTTCCTATATTCTTTTATCTCCTCTTCCATATTCCTAATCCTTTTCTCTAGCTCCGCCTTCTCCTTCTTCCACCCATTCATCCTTTCCTCCATCCATTTTTTCATCTCTTTTTTCTCCTCATTCCATTTCCTGATCTCTTCTCTTATCTCTTCCCATCCCTCTCTTGTCTCCCCCTCTCTCTTATCTCCCTCTATCTCCTTTCTTATTGGCGATCTACCCGTTTTCCTACTCCTTCTAAAAATATTATCCTGTTCCTCTTCCTCCTCCTGTCTGCTTCTTTTTCCCCCTTTTTTTTAAATAATTCTAATAACGGAACGCTGTTCGCCCTCTCTCTTTTCAATATTTCCGCATGCGTCGGTCTTCCTACCTTTCCCTTCTCTTTACCCTTCGTCCCCTCCTCTACCTTCCTATCCTCCTCTATTTTCTTGTCCTCCTCTACCTTTTTATCCTCCTCCGTTTTCTTTCCCTCCTTCACCTTCTTATCCTCCTCCATTTTCACCTTCTCCTTTTCTATAAACCTCTTCCTTCTATTACTTTCCTCTTTTCTTCTTTCCTCTGTATGCTCCCCCTCTATCTATCCTCTCTATTCTATGCCTGCGGCCCGCTCTTCTTGTCTCTACCGCTTCCCTCTCTACCACTCTCGCTAGTCTATGCCTGTCGCTGCTCCCTGGCTAACCTATCTCCCGCTGCCCTCCCTTCTCACCTCTGTGTCTTTCCTACTCACCCTCGCGCCTCCCCTTCTCTCTCCCGCCTTCTCTCCGATCTCCTTCACGTCCGCCCGTACCTCGCTCTTCCTCCAACGCTCTCTTTCCTACTCTATCTACTTTTCACTCTCTCGCTCACTCTCACACACTGTCACTCGCACGCTGCCGGAAACGGAAGTCCGCGTAATACTCACTTAGTTAAAACATTTTTTTAGTATTAAATTTTAATATAAGTTTATATAAAAACTAAAACGTTATTTAAATTAGGCCGTAGCCAAGGGGGGGGTCCGGGGGGTCCGGACCCCCCCCCGAAACCTCATACGAAATTTAAAAAAAACCAAATATTAGTAAACATTATGTTCAATACGATAAACGTAATTTTTTTACTAAAAAATTTTTTATTTTCCAGAAATAAGTACTGTTTTAAACAAATTTATGGCTTTTAAAATATTTATTTACACGATAAAAACTCTATACCTTAGTAAATATATGTTTCAGTAGTGCCAAGATAATACTTTTGTTTTGTATATAGACATTTTATGATACACTATCGAGACATATGAAATTTTCGGCATATGATTATTATTTCAATGAAAACATATTGACTTTATCTACGTTCTTCTTTCTCACCACGATTGTGAACGCGTATAGTACTGAATCTTTTGTTAGGGACGCCATTAGACATGCGTCATTTAAACCATTTCACATATTTGCGGAAAATTCTGCCACCAATAATTTCTATAATACCAATTTACTTCTATCAAAAATTTGATATATTAAATATTAAAAATTCATACATTTTTAATCCATCCACTTTTTATTTAATATAAAATTTTTTAAATTAAAACCAATTAACAATTTATTAATAATATTAATAAAAGAAACGCTTAATAGATTTACGTCCAGAATTGGTCACAATCAAAAATCGTATATAATAATAGTCTACTTCTGATTAAAATTTGAGTCAATTATATCTAAAATTGAAAATTGAAAATTCATGTACATGTAAATATTGTTTCAAGTATATAATTGAATTTTAATTTGTAGTACTTAAACGATTAATGTACGGGTGCAGAAAAAACTTGCAATATATTTACTTTAAAATTCAGTAAAAAATTTCTAACAATTCAAACATAATGAAATAATTTTTTATTATGTTGCTGCTAAAAGAATTTATTTATTATCTGTTTCTTGCTTGAAAATATTGACGGTGGCATAATCACATGTTTCCCATGAAATTTAAAAAATGTGTATCTTATTTTATACAAGCGCGTTCATACATACTATTCATACAATCGCGCGTATGCGCGAAGCAACATGCTGGAAAAACAAAAGAATATCTGAATATATATCACATCAAAACCGCAAGGGGTCTCACAATCAATGCAATCGGTCTGAAAGGTATAAGCAGAAGTTTGTTTTCACATCCAAGCAATTAAGCAAATATAATATTCAAAAGGAAAGAAGTGATCAATAATTCAAAATAAGTTTCCTTTGCTTCGCTGATAAAGAGTACGCGCGAGAGGGAATTGACGGTTCGTTTCGGACAGAAGTATGATCTAACCTATATGCGTGAAAGTAAGTATATCTGCTAATTTATTTCTCTTTATATTTTATATCCGTTATATTTTTCGAATGCGTATTCAATACGTTTTTTTCCAATATTGACTTACACTCCACAAATGCCAGTATGTTTCTATTCGAACTAACTTCAGATTGTGGCCGGTATTCATAGTCTTCAAGATCGTCTTAAGTAATGTCGTAAGACGCTAATATGGCTCTGTGATTGGTTCATGACATTTTAAGATTGAACTTAAGACGGTCTTAAATAACTATGAATACCGGCCGGCCTATGTATATACATACTTCCCGAAGAATATAGAAACATTCAAATCATCTGCATTCTATACTTTTTTCGAGAATCAAGAAATAGGATTCAGAAGTATTGAAAATTTCAATACTTTCCAATTATTTTTCGTTTGCTGGGATTCCGCATTTGTTACACATATAACTATTTCATTATTGCATCTTCAGAATCACCAATACAATTTCATGTACTTTTTTATAGGGTCTTTATTAAAATGTCTAAACGAGGGAAGGAAAATACTTTATTCAATTATATGATAAAGAAACCAAAGTCTACCGATGAAAATCAGTCTTCACCTGTTCCTGTTTCTGTTCCTGTTTCTGTTCCTGTTCCTGTTCCTGCTCTCGACAATAACACTGAGAATGCTGGTACTAGTTCCGGTTCTAAGGAAGATATTCCACGAACTAACGCTCAAAATATTTTAGATTTAGGTTGTTACACGGAATTAAAAAACAAAATTGATGATAATTTAAAGTGTAGATTACTGGATTCGCCTTGGCAACCGGACAAATCATTTAAGTTCCCAGTAAGCGATGGAAAGAAAAAACTGAAATTTCAAGTAACGTGGTTTGATCGGTTCCCATGGCTGGTTTATACGACAAAAGGTCAGCAAGGCGCCTTATGTAAATTTTGTGTATTATTCGCCCGAGATTGCGCAGGTAAAGGGTCTCATCAGCAGTTAAAGTCTTTAGTTACCCAGCCGCTGAACAAATGGAAAGATGCCCTTTCTGATTTTAAACGTCATGGTGAAAGCCAGTATCATAAAGAATGCATGATATTGGCTGATAATTTTCTTCGAGTGTTTAAAAAATTGCAACCGGACATTATTAGCCAAATCGATACAGGACGCTTAACGCTAATAGCCGAAAATCGTACAAAACTCATTCCCATTATTGAAACTATTAAATTGTGTGGCCGACAGGAATTGGCATTGAGAGGGACATGCGATTTAGGACCGATTAAAATCAACGATCCTGAACCAGAAATAAATGACGGTAACTTTAGAGCTATTTTACGAATGCGAAACAACTGTGGTGATTTAAATCTAAGGAAGCACTCGGAAAGTATGATGTTGAACGCTACGTACTTAAGCCCGGATATACAAAATGAATTAATTGCAACTTGTGGTGAAATTATTCAAAATAAATTAGTTGATAAGATAAATTCTGCTAAGTACTTTTCGATACTGGTTGATGAAACGACTGATATTTCACGACAAGAACAAATGTCAATTTGTGTTAGATATACGGAGCCCAAAGATGATATATTTATATTGCACGAAGATTTCTTGAGTTTTGTTTCAGTTGAGAGAACTACAGGAACATTTTTAGCTAATGCAATTCTTTTAGAATTAAAACGTTTAGGAATTAACTGCGAATACTTAATCGGACAAGGATATGATGGTGCCGCCGCAATGAAAGGCTGTTTTAACGGTGTACAGACAGTAATCCGTGAGATTCATCCGGAAGCTTTGTACGTGCACTGCAGCGCGCATTCGCTAAATTTGGCTTTAGCTCATTTTTGCCAAATACAGTTGTGA